GGAGCTAACGGCTTCTTCCAGACCCACTGTTGCCAAGGGGATGACCAGCTGCCGTTTGTTTACAAGGGGCCGAGAGAGTGTGTGTGTGTGTGTGTGTGTGTGTGTGTGTGTGTGTGTGTGTGTGTGTGTGTGTGTGTGTGTGTGTGTGTGTGTGTGTGAGAGAGGTCTGTAAGAATCAGGATTTGACCGATTTTGAAGCATTCGATACAGAGTGGGTTGCACATTTTATAAAAGATGTTATTTTAAATGCTCTGTGGGTTTTATATGTATTAATCCAATTTATCCTGCATATTTTAGACTTCATTATAAAAAATGTTTTATATTTAACACTATATTCAAAATGATCCTGTATATTTTAAGCCAAGTCCCCACAGACTGATCTACTTTTGCCAAAAATGCCCACCTGCAGCATAGTAATCAAACTGTGCTTAACCGAGCCAATTAGCTTTACTTGGCTATGCTAACACGCTAAATGAGTCAACACACCTGCTAAACATCCCCATGTTAGCACGCTAATGTTAGCGTTTAAACACAAGTACCGCTGTTACCGAGAACTATCGGACTCTAAAGTCTTGTTTTTCTCTTTGTGTCGAACTCTCGTCGACTGACTAAATGTTTGAAGACGCTAAATTTAAAAGCTAAAACAGCTGATTTTAACATTTGGAGTGACATTCGGATACAACATTTAGAGAAAGATATAGCCTTATTTTAACCAAATACTTCAACATTTCAACCATTTTGCTTGGTTGATCGTTGGTGCTTTCACACAATAGTTAAGATTTTGACTAATAACCATCAGTAATGTGGATATACTGAATACGTGGGAAAGGGAAAATAAAAAAGAAAGCATCTAAGGAGAACTGATTTTTACTATCAATAGGAGCTTTCACACCAAGTACTTTGCCGTGATTAGTCCCCAGTACTTAGTTCAGGGACTCCCAGCAGCTTCTACTGAAGCTTCCGAGTAAATCGCCAGAACCCCGACACCTCCTCTCCTAGTCTCTTTGTTG